AATTTATAAGGTACAGAAAGTGGGAGATTCATGATACGGCACAATTTTGTAGTCTTTACCCTGGGTATACCACAGCCTGACACAAAACCGACGTCGACGTCTGGGTGAGCCTATTCTTTCTCTCCAAACTTGATCCTCAAAATCGCGTACGGGCGGTAATGCTTGAAACTCTGACTTGCTTTCACTGCAGGTATCAATGAATGGCGCTGATTACTTACCACCATCAGGCGAACTAGTCCACCTGTTTGCCGTCTAACTATCCTGAAAAAATAGGTCTAAAATACGTATAATTATGCTAATTCAACCTGTGCATTATGTGATGAAAGAGGAAGTGTTTCTAAAAGTATATACAAATCTCTGCGCCATACATTGAGATTGAACGGCGTAATTTATCTAAGTGCCTACTATTAGGTGTCAACCGCTTACATTTCTGTGCATAATTTTAGCTCCTTTTTCTTCGTAAGTAACCTAGAAGGTACGCCCTGTTCGTGTAAATTTTCGTATTGCTATAAACTGTTAGTTATACATATTACTAAAATGAAATCAGCAGTCTTCAGATAGGAACCTGATAGAACAATTATGTCGGACGTATCTCAGCTTCACATCACCAGCCCTCAAATCCTGCATCTATTAGTCAATTCCTAGTTTTAAATGTCACAAAGGCTTCAAATATATGGATTAGTACATCTGAAAATACATCATTATCATCATCAGCTGTAAGTACCCACTGCTGAGCCAGCCCTCTACTGACATTGAGAAGATTTGAGCATTAATTACCACGCTTGCTCAAGACGGATTGGCGATTTCGTATCTCAGCTCAATTCTTTGAAGAGGAAGATGATAGTTTTTTCTCATAACGTCTTGTATGTATCTTTACAAATGGATTCAAAATTATAATTGAAGAGATTGTAAATTCTTATGTTCACACAATATCCTGTTCGTCGGAAACCTGTGTTGATGAAATAGATCACATGTGTTGTGTGCTGAATACATAAACGATTTCCATTTAACAGCAATAACACAATTTCTGAAGGAATGTGGACACTAATTGCAATACACGATCTAGACCACCACCACCACATATAGCTTAGAATATTAACAGAAAATCATTTAATGTATCTCTTGCCTCTCAAAAACTAAGTTTTTGCAATTGATCAGCATATTTAAGTGAAAACAGATTCATTAATGAATAGATAACTGTAAAATTTGGATTTATTAGTGTGATTGGTTAGTTTGTAGTCGCATTTTCGGACCAAGTAAACAAAGATAAAATTACAAACAATAAATACTGGTAAATTGCACGCATTCCACTTGTAGCACCCAGGATATAAGAATCAAACTCACAGATTTGGACATATTAATTTCTATTAGAGTAAATAATTATTATTGTGTGTTGAAAACATTATTCCACAGTCATGCAACAATCGCGACGCAGTCAGTCTCAATTAACCTATAATTATAAAATTGTGAATTAGTAGATACAATTTTACTTTCAAGTCTTAATCTTGGAAATTTCTAGACTGATTTTAATGAAACTTGGTTGCTACTTCCGCGTCGTTTCATCTGATGCTCATCTTCCATTGGTCGTATGTTATGGCCCGATCTTACTATATAAATTGATTCTAACCATCACAAAAAGTATTGCTTAGTTGGAATAAGCAATTCCGGTGTTTAACGCAACGATAAATGAATGAATGACTAACGAATTTTCCAGCTTTATAAAATTATTGGCATCTTATAATTATATTAAGGTATACAGGTTAAAAAAAACAGATAGACATTTGTAAGGTTATATACAAACATAAAATTAGTTAATATTAAATTTTATGAAATATTTTCTATATTACGTAGAAATATAGCCTTCGTTAATATGGAGATTAGCTTACATGATTTTTGTAATATAAAAATAAATAATGGAAACCTAAAACTACAGTCAGTCAGCGCGGGACAAAATCAGGGAAGCAGCATCCTATAAGCTTTGATAACCTGGTTCCTATCAACAAGGCCAGCAAGGCCAGCCAAGAGTAGAAGTTACGGTAAACCTCAAAAACATCTTACTTTAGGAGTGGGCAAAGACGCATAAATTAATTTTACTGGATCAACCACGGGGTTCAACATTTCCATAGGGGTAAAATGGCAAAATTTATTTTAATATTTTTACCCACGTAGTACTTTTTATATATTTTTGTTAATCTTATACGCAGGTACGTCTATCAAACTCAGGTAGCGAAGTTTCCTTAACCATTAGAAAAATAGTTACGGAAACCCAATTTACAATCAATTTATGAAGTAGGACAAATATGTAATTACCTTCAATACATGGTCAAGCGTTTAATACTTTAATTTAGTAGGATCATAACAAGGATTTAATGGTTTATTACTATTCGAATATCTAGTATTGACCATAACTTTAAATCGTGCAGATTTTTACGAACTAGGTTTAGTATTTCCGAGAACATAATTATCTTAAACCAAGTGTAGAAGTATTAGTAAAAATATGCAATTAAGTATTATGATAAACTTTAATATCGCATATTACTAAGGTAATTAATATTGTTATTTTATTATTTTTAATAAAAATGGGCAGGTCAATTTAATTTTCATGGCAACACAAATTCTTGACTTTAACAAAGTGAAAATGCATTTATAATGTCGAACTGTCTACCAAGTAAAATGTGCTTTATATATAACAAGCTTTTGCCCGCGACTCCATCCGCGTAGAATAGTGACTTACCGCAGATTTTTGATAAATAAACTGTGCTATGTCCTTTCTCAATTTTCAAACTATGTCTGTACCAAATTTCACAGAAATCGGTTCAGTAGTTTAGGTGGAAGAAAAGACAGACAGACAGAGTTACTTTCGCATTTCGCATATTAGTTGGGATTTTAGATAATAATTAATACATACAAAGCGCTATATATAATTCGTAAAGTATGATATCATTTAAAAATCCAACAATATAAATGAGAATAAAAATAACCAAGCAAGTCGGTAAGAATTTTAATAAAAACGGTACTGATCGAGAGCTCGGTGGACGGCGCATTCTTTTGAATGTAATGTTACATAAAAGATATAGAGGCATTTAACTTTACTTTCACAATTTTCTTATCGACTTCTTAATTTTATACTTGGTTAATGTAAGGTCTGTTACTACAGCCATTGTTTTTTATAGTCCTAATTATGCTATACTTTCCATTCGATTCAAATGTACTATGACATACCTTCTTGTCATTACTTTGTAAATTGATATTTATACCAACAATATCATACGAACTGCTATTAGTTAGTTTGATTAATTGCAATGTAGGTACTGGCCAATGCATTAACGTTACATTACTTAACAACCACTTTACGTTCACATTTTAATCTAATATGTCACCGATATCTTGTTCTATTTAGCTATCATAACTGACATTATAATTAAATAGCGGAAACCTTTCTCTGGTCCCTGATTAGGGACATAAGTTGCGCGTACGCGTGGCGCTTGCGGCGCGTGGCCGGCGCAGGCGCATTGCGACAATACCGACGGTGTCATGGCCGCGACTAGTGAACGGCATGTGCAACTATAATAAAACATAACAGTACGCGTAAATCGTGGGACATTAATGCCACACTGATCATATTCGGAGCACCTTGCTCTCGTATTACTTTTTAGGGACTGGGTCAATTTTATAGTTGACAAATACTTAAAAATAAATGATTTAATTGAACAACTATCAATATTCTTCCCTGGAGAAAAATAATACATTTGAAACTTACCAATACCTTAAAAAACAAATGGTAATACAACAAGCCGAATTAAAACTTCGTGCGAAAGAAATCATTAATTTGCATGATTAAAAGTTCGTTTACAGCATAAGATGCATTCATTTGCATTTATAATTCTTATTAACATAAAGGTCAAATAATTTCTTACTGTGAGTACGTAGCTATTTTTATACGAATTTACAGGGTGACAATGATATATGGATGTGAAAGTAGATAAGAAGATTGCAAGGATGGTTGTCGGAATGCAGCGGATGGTAGGCGTCCCTTTGTAGGGTTTTAACGCATTTATTAATCTGAATACATTTTTCGTTGCTACTCAAATTATAACTAACAAAAAAAAAATAACTCTAATTATTCTTTAAAGTAACATTTTTGTTTATTTTTAACCATTGAAAGCACTAGAGTACAAAAAATAAATAATAGTAAGTACAGAAAAATAGAAAATACACAAATAAAAAACGATAATTATTATTCTTTTAATTTTTTAAATTCGATTGTTGACAAGTTAATTGAAAAGACCGACAGTACTTTATGTCCTTGGAACTTTACTAAAATCTATACATAAATAAATTACGATATAAATAGAATGAACGCAATCACAAAAAAACACCTGAAAAAATGAAAGTATATCATCGGCGGCGAGACAAAAGCCACGGCCATCTGGTTTTGGTTCGTTAAAGACTGACCCAATTAGTTATTCTCGGTATAGGAATATTTTGCATTGCCAGTTACAAAAATATCTCAACACGTCCTTGTGAGGTAATATAACACCAACACTCCCACTCGCTCCAGTTTCCGAGGCTTTGGACTTTCACTATCATTGTGAGACCGTTTTGCGCAACGCACACGGCATGCGTAATGCATGTTTTAACATTTCGATTTCTGAATGTAATTTTGTTTTTTTTTTTAATTTCTGTTTCATCTTATTGTGGAGATAAGACTTTAGTCTGTAGTAAGTAAAGGGTAAAAATAAGTGCTTCATTTGTAATTAAAATGCATTTTAATTTACAAAAGCGTCTCAGTCGATTAGTTTAAAGAACTTTGGTTCGCTTTAAGTCTTTTCACGACTTAAACAGAAGAAATACTTAAAAATATTTATTATAATTTGGTTAATTCCCTTCAGTCTATCTTAAGGTATCTTAGCAAAAAATCTAATTACAAACTACCTCGGCTTTGGCCATATAGTTACACAGTATATTATACATAATCTAATTTGTATTTAACAAATAACTTAAATATCAAACATGTCTAACAGGTTTATGACAGGCTTTTTCTTCTTTACAATCTTTCGAACCACTTCCTTTGGTCCTGTTCCCCGTGTGGAACCTGGGTACCTATCATCCTGCGACGTATCATCAAAGTTACTTGAAAACTGCGGACGCTCATAATCATCATCAATCGGTCTATAGTCGTAAGGTTCAGGAATAGGCGTGGTATTCTTTAGTTTCTTCTTAGGAACTAAAATATAATCACTTAAGTCATCGCTTGGGTAGCGGTGTTCTGGCTCTCTTGGTTTGTAGGGTCTTTTCTTCTTTGGTCTTGGGGGAACCTCATCTCGATAGTACTTTTCAGGAACAGGCAAATCAGGGATTACTGGATAATTATATTTCACTGATGCGGATGGTTTGACGGGGATGTCATCGTATTTATGCCCCTTAAAGTTTCCATTGCCGTAATGCTTTGTTACGTATCTATCAAAGTCAATACTTGGTTCGGCGTATTTGTCGTACGAGTCTCTAAAGGAGTCTGGGGGAAATTGTGGATATTTCTTGTTCAACTCTAGATCGGCATTGTTTGAATACAAATTGTCTCTATTAAAGTAGCTTTCTTTTTTAGTTTTTGTTTTGCAATTCGGGTCGAAATTAAACCCAACGTGACTTTGTGGTTCAAATTCTGAGAATTCATCGCGTGGGTGTTTAATGGCAATGCTGTGTGCAAATTCACTAGGTTCTGAGTCTTGCGGGTGATCTGAATACGATGGATATTTAGTTCTCTTTTTGTGAGGAAATTCTTTTCGGTTAGCTTCGTATGGTCTTTTTGCTGGTCTTCTTTCGTAGTAGTCTTCGTCTGGATCTTCTGAAAAATCGTAATACTTTTCGTAGTCTCTCATCGCTTTTTCTTCTAGTATACTACGTCCTATGTCAGCAGTGCCAATCATTTGATTTTCAGTGTTAACCGTAGCTTGAAATCCTGTTTTTGGTCCTGCTGAATATTCGACGGTTCGTGTGGAGCCGTCTGGTTCTAATACACTGTAGTGACCTGTAAAATAGAGAGAATAAAATATGAATTTTTTCACACACAATTCACGATCTATTTTAAAAATATATGCAAAACGACATTAGTATAAGAAAAAAATGTCGGTAACAATCATTTTTAAGATTAATATTAGGTGCAATTTCATCGTCAAAAGATTATGTTAATATCCATAAAGTCTCTAATGAACACTTACAAGTACTGGTCTGTAGGTAAACTTGTATATTTAATACTCCTTTTAACATGAATGCTTTAAAAAAAGAACTGTACCTTGAACAGTGTCACCATCTCGTGCCTCCCATACTTGTTTAACATCTCCAGTTCTGCCATCAGTGACGCCGTAGCTGAACGAGTAGGTAGATTTTCCCTGACAATAAAAAAACAAAAGCATTCACTCATTAATTCAACTATATTTTTTCCTTCCACTATAATTACGTTGTGATGTCTCTATATTGAAAAAAACTGAGAATGTGTGAAGCGATAGCTTGCGTGTAATAATTCGGTATTTTACTCATTATGACAATTGATTGCATGTTCAGCCATTTTAGTTTAATATTCTGAATAACTAATGAGGGATTTAATCGTTTCCATAACATAGGTATGCACGTAATTACAATCAGGTAGAGTGAGTGAGTGTATTAATGTCTGGCTGTCTGTCAAACCATTAAGCGTAACGCGTGCGGCATTTATCACTCTCGATCACGACTAGACGTTGCCCAACATTGAGGTTACATTGTATTGAATGAGTCTGGACAAAATGTTCTGTAAAACAATTTTACTACGTAAGTTCGCATTTATAACTATGTATACAAGTGTCCACTGCACCAACTATATTATTAATAATGTATATCACCCTCAAAATGTGCTTAATATCCGAATACCGTAGCTTTAAAATCAGTCAACTTCTAATTAACCTAAATCCAAATATCGTATCGTACACAAGTTTCTCAGTGTTTATAAACATTGGCGGCATAAATGTCACTTGTTGACGGCCATCTTCTCGTCAAGTTCAAGATGAGCCAGACGGGTGCGCGTGCGCATCACGTGCCGTTACTCAATGTCAATGACGGATCGTTTACTTTCGTTCGTTTCCGCTTCGATTCGCTCAACAAGATTCACTTTTTTTGTGTATCATATAGTGTAAATGTATTTATACATCATTCACACTTTTCTTGATGAATACAGATAGTATCTCATGAATTTGGACTAAATTTATTGCTTTTTAATTCAACGTATAAAATGACTCGTTGTTGCCAATTTTTTTCGCACATGGAAACGGTAATCGATATCATTATTAGAGAATGGTTTGCAGCGCATAGTTACGATAAAAAAATATCGAAAGTGATGAAACTTTTACTGGGTAAAAAATCCAATGACAACGTAGTAATTGACAAGCATTCGTGTTCCTCGCTCCTGCAATTATGATTTGCATAATATAAAGAAAAAAAATATTATTATTAAAAGCGACCAAGTAGAGCAGTGTAACAGTTGTACTAGCCGTGTTGCTTTGAGAAAAGTGGGTGAACCAGACAACCGGTGGCCGCATTCGTTTCGACATTCAGCGACCACTTTCAATAGTGCGAGTATTTGTGTGTATTGACATGTTGCAAGCCTCGTCACTGATAAGCGCGACCTACCTATAACCAGTGCAAAAAATAACCTGTAAAGATCTAGAACTAGAATTTCATTGATCCAAGTCCAATTAGCGCAGGTGGTAGCGATTGTGGAAGGCCACGTTGGAATGAATAGTGCACATGTCCCAATTTTATGGTATTTTATTACCCTGACTGTAAGAATTAGGGACAATTAAGATGTAATGAATTGAAATTAATAGTTTACCCTAGAATTTATCAGTGATTAGGCGATTAATACTTGGTCATGTTGCTATGAAAGAAATGTTAAATGGTTAGTAAATCAATGATATTTACTTTATAAGTAAAACATTAATAACTTAGTGGACTTACCCGGTTTCCGAAAGTTCACCAACAATGTTAAAATCAATTTAATCTCTTGTCAAGTCATCTGATTGGTTGACTGAATTATCAACAACCAATCAGATGACTTCACAAGAGATTTAACAGGAGATTAGTGAATTTTAGCGTTTCAGAAACCGGGTGTTTGTCTTGTATTTTCTAGAAATAGTAATTCGAAATTAGAATTAGTAATTTCCATATTTGTGATAGAAATATGGGACAAAGAAAATTAATTCAAACAAAATTAACATTATGAAGTTATGTAGTGTGTTCGTTCTTTTTATCTTTTTCTAACATCATTTTCTTTTTGAGGTGGTATGAGACTGAATAGTAAGGTTAAATATTTTCCTTTAGCGACACGTTTGATGGCGCATGCGGAAAATTTGTGATAATTAAGTATTCTAAAGCCTAAAGTTGTAATGCATCTAAACACCTAAATGGTAATTACCTGTTAAGTTAAGAACAATGCTTGTAAACAGTTATTATCCTACATTTACACAAATTATTCATTATTTATGATTGATTGCCATCTCTTTATATAACTCGATTATTTCTTACGTAATTGTAATAATCCTTGTTGTAATAGGAAGAGAATGGAGAGCAGATGAATGAATTATAATCAGATGTAAAATTTAATAACTGATTGATATCTTTATTGTTGAGGAACAGAAACATTAGAGAGAAAGTGTCGATTGTAAACCATTTAAAAAACGTAACTAGGATAACAGAAATGAGACGGCTAGGTAACAAAAAAATAAATAAAAGAATGACTTGTGAAAAAAGCACATTCAAATCAGTGAATACATCGCTATAACTGGTGAACATACATAGTAAAACATAGTAAAAATGTTATGTCACTTGCCTTTTACCCGATGTGAATCTAATTATTCATATTCATTTCATTGTCGAATTAAATTATATAAGGTATTTGAATAGGTATATTTTTATCTAATATCATGCATGTCATATGAGTATATTAGAGGAAGTTTGAAAATGGCGCCAGTGACTGAAAAGTTGAAAGGGAACCGTTTGTCTTGGTATGACCATGTAAAAGGGAGGGACGAAACGCATGTTACAAAAAAAGCCATGAGTATAAATGTGGATGGATGGAGAGGGAGAGGGATACCAAAGAAAATATGGATGGATTGTGCGAGAAATGATATGGAAGACAAAGGAATCAGTGATAGCGTGACGGGTGACAGGACAGAATGGAAGAAAAAAACATATTGCGCCGACCCCAAATAAAACGGGACAAGGGCAGGAAGATGATGATGATGATCATGCATGTCATACAAGGGTAAATAAGATACTGCGCCTATAAATAAAATCAAAACACAGGGATGACGAAACCAGGGCAGTTAGATACACATGGTGTTAGTAACTCGGAACAAAACAATTAATTTTAGACACGTAAATGATTACAGAATTTACCCCCAATATTGCACCTGTAATGATTTTAGTACTAAATAAGGTTGAAGCACATGTTTCCGTACCTTATAACTTCTGATAGTAATAAGATTAGAACACCTAAATCATACGACGACACATTTGCGATTACGATTAAAATTTAATTTTGAAAATGACACGTTGACACCTAAAGGTTCGCCATCCCTGGCAAAACAATTGACCAAGCGAATGATGATAAAAACTTGCTTATTACCGTTCAGAGTAAGTAATTCTTAGATTTTAAGGAATATATTATACAAATTAGACAATGTTATAACTCGAACAACAGATTCTCATTGAATTTTAGCAGAATTTAGACTATTTATTTTACCGCGAAATTAAGTTTTACTATTGCTGCTGTACAAGCACGGTCTAACATTAAATTTAATAAAACTATACCCTACTATAACTTAACGAAACGACATAACACGCTTTATTTAACGCATAAAAATCTATGCAATTACGCAAAGAATACTCCACTTAAAATGCGCATTAATATCGAATTAATAAACAAAGAAAATCATGCAGATATTAATTTAAGTAATTATACGTATAATTATAATTTCGACGCCTACTTGCGTATTTAAATTGACGTGCGCATGCGACGGCCGCTGTAGTATTATAGTGAAACGCGTGAGCTATCGTGTTTTATGATCGAAAGAAGTCATTTTTTACAATCCTGTTATTAACGGTTTATTGTTTTATTTTTAATGGCTCTTTATGTCATTCTAAGTACTTAATATTAGAAATCGTATTTATTGTCCATTAATGACTAGGAAGTTTTTGTTTCTGCAGCAGTTCATTTTTTCTTTGCAGGATTTAATTTAATCTGAAATTGTTCATATACTTTCCATTCATAAAAACATGACTTTTAGATCGCATCAATGTTTTTTATTTTTTTGTATTACGTTGTAAGTAAAACGTATTGTATTATTTTCAGTATAGTACATATTTATGTAAGTGTGTATAATATTTCAGATGATGTTACTTTGTGCACTTTATAATTTATCTCTGCATCACCCAAAGGTTTGGCTATTAGAGAATGCCCATGACATTAAGTCCACCTTTGTAATTTTTTTTGTGCATAAAGTTATAAAAATAAATAAACATTTAGGATATAAATAGGTATTTTGTATTTCAATCCATTAATAATTTTCTTATATTTTCTCTCTTTCTGAGATTCCATTATTGAAATGAATTGATAAGAAATAATGATTTATTTATTATGCGTCATTAAAGAGACTTATGCAAAGCAGTAGACCACTTGAAGTTCATGATAATGAAGTTTCAGTAAAGACCCTCTTAAGCCAAAAATATTTGCAGTATGTATATAGGGAACATATGAATTTATGTAACAAATTTATGTGCATCTGGTATTGAAATAATGCAAAGACTTATATTATAGCGAAAAAGAATTATACGACACATTATGCTGCGATAGCTTATTAAACAGATAAGACAAAATATACAGTTTTTTACAGAACCATCAATTACTGCATGTTTTACTTAACTTATGAGAATGAAAACGTTACATTAATTAAAATTAAAATCAATCGATTCTACTCACTTTGTCAGTTGTCTCCTCTATCGTTTCTTCTACATAATCCCCTTCTTGACAATTGGTTGCTAACAAATTTGCCAAGAGGATCTGAAACGAAGCATGTTATTTTTCTATTTAACTAAAATACCAGTACCACAATTTCGGTAATTAAGTTATGTTACAAAAAACATTAGCAATTTTCAGTAATTTATTAAATTCGAATTAAAGAAAATATAAGTTACTGGTTATATAATAGGATTAAAAATAATAAAATTTACATACCAATATCACAAGCGCTTTATCCATGATTACTGTATCCCACCATATACACGTCACGATATTACCAAAACAAAAAACATAGAAAAAAAATTAATCGATGACTATGAACTTGTCCATTTCAAGGTTGAAGCTAGATAGAGACGAGCCGCGACGACCACCACTCACCTATTTATAAACGCACACAGGAACACCCCCAGGCGAACGTGTCTTACTCGCATCCACACATACACACGTAACAATTACTAGACTAGGATGTGATACATTTAATTGTACATCAGTTACCGGTAACTATCAGATAATTGTACCTTACACTTGTAGGAGACAATTAATAAAATTTATCTTTTAAGAATAAAATTTACGACCAATTATCACTTTAAAACATAGTATGGAAGATCTGACAATAAACATTTTAGTATTTTCAGCAAATAAAAAGGTAACAAGAAAATTTAAGAGAAATGATGAACATGGTTACAGTTTTACAGGAAATTATATTAGCCGAATATTACGAAAAAAATAAAATAATTCGGAAGATTTATTTCGATAGTAATGATACAAGTTATCAATGTATTACCATCCTTAAATAATAAAAAAAAATATTTCATAGCTGCATGCAAATTGTTGAAAGTGGACACTTTCAGCTATGATCGCATGAAAGTCATTGCAGTAAAAGTTAAAGCATAACGCACTATAGTAAATGTCGTAATTTACAATTGTAATTATTATCTGACAATATTACGATATTCGGAGCCAGTTTGAATTGTATTGAAGACCTTGACACAATATCAGTTAATGAAAGTAAGGACTGCATAAGAAGTTTATTGTTGGCATTTTGCTCCAGGCCCTTGCTGCTTTTATAATCGTAAGCCTCTTAAATAATTAAAGAACTGAGCTATAAATAAGTATGTAACAACAATTGTAAAATTCGATTATATGCATTTAATGTTACATTTTTAGGTATGGATGTACATGTGCGATATAACATAAAAAAATCGAGTTTTGCTGCTGTTATCATCAAATGACTTCTCCCGCCTAGGGCCGGGCGGGATCGCGGCGTATCAGACTCTGACTAAAACCCCCCTGTTCCTTCGACGAGGTCACGGTGCCTCATTGCGCTTACCCTGCAACCCCGGCTTAACATCAGCTCTATAGGGCCCCGTCTGTGGTGGTCTATTGGCTCTTTGAGGCTCAATTATAATAGTTAAAATATTGTTATCTATTAGAAAATATAACCAGAGACCTAATTTGCTTGAAGCTCGTACTTAAAATCATACAAACAATAACGTTAAAAAGTGCCCAATTGGTTACTTTTATTTTATAATAGAGTCACACCAGTTGTAATTCATAAGTAAGTAATAAAGTCAAGTCAATTAACTGTTTAAAAAAATGGGGAATGCAATTAATATCTAACTATAATACGGAACTTTTACTTTGTTGCAAATACACAGCAATGTGCTTAATATTCTAGAATTGAAATTTGATTGCACCAATAAAAATAATGGTTTGCAATTCAAATATTTTATATGTTGTTTTGATTTCAACAGTAAACAAAACTTTATAAGATAATTCAGAGGTGAAATAAATATATCATAATCAGCAGCAATAATTGCGATCATTACACAAATATAATGAAGTTACCTATTCATTTCCAAGATTATGCACTTTCAAATACATTATGTGTAGGACTGTGTATATGAGGAACACAAAGATGTAATCTTTATTCAAGAATTTTCCGGTGCACACCCGGAATGACTGAAAAGATAAACAGTTCCGATAATCTACTTAACAAAGAAACAAGCGATGCTAGAACAAGATTAATGACATTGTTAAGCAAAAAACGGCTTTGTAAAAAGGCAAGAATAAAGTGGTAATTGCATACATCTATCATTGTAGTCCAAACAATGGTCAAAAGAAAGTAATTTATTGGTGTTAGTGACATACGTCCATTCTTTAACGTAGTATTAAACTAATATCCTGATATCAAGTGTTCCGTCTATTCAAGCGTAAAAGAAATTCAGCGACACACTGGCGTCATTCGTCAATAAGTAAAACTGTCTTTACACTAATCATTGAAAATAAGTAATACTTACAGATATAGCAATGCCTCCTAAAACGTTCTACAATTCGCAAGTCATTTTAAGTGGAGAATAAAGTTTCTTGTACAGGTAGGAGCAAGTCTGCTTACTTACCTACATTGCTACATCTTTTGTGCTGGATGAGGATAAATAAGCAGCCGCGTCTCTTCATGGAAAATAATTAAAGCCAACCATATTCTTGGTAGGGCGGCGTTTATAGTTGGATCAAGGTCATCATCAGGTTACGAATCCATTAAATAGTCACGTTTTATATTTTACAGTATTTTGTATGATGCAGAAACTATTCCAAATCTTGAATCTAAAATACAGATATGTCTATAGACAAATTTGCTACCACAAGTCTTATATTGTCTCCAATGAGTCAAAAAGTCCGATAACTCAATTAGTGTTGTCAAGTAACACTTGTGTTTAAAATCGATCCTGGTCACGATGTATCGTTATATCTAATAGTTCAAGTCAAAAGATGTTAACGTTAAAGGACTGAATAATTTTACAATCACAATTGATGTTTACGTGTGAACGTCCTTGTAATATTTATTAATGACCGCTCAACAATGTTTCATGCTTCGACTACTCCTGTAACGATGATGAATTTCAACAGGAAAGCGGCTTAATTCATCACTTTCATTTATGAATGGGCAAAAAATGAAACACGTGTCTAGTAACTGTTTCTCTTTATTTTTCATCCCGCTGTATCAAAACAATCAACGATTAATCGTTACTTTACAAACCTTATAAGCTAATACAGTAATAATTATCTTTCTGATAATTATATTATTTTTCGATACGCACGATTATCATTTTAAATAATACATCGAAGGTAATATCACAGTCTGACACTGGTTTAAGAATTTATTAAACTTAAAGCAGTACCATCTATTGGGCGTTGTTGGAACTACATGCCACGTTATAACAGCGCCATCTAATAGTGAGAGTAAAAACCACCTGAGCTGTGAGTGTTGTAGTGTTGTGGGTGATGCGCATGACCAATGCGTTTGACTACTGCGTTGAAACCGTGGATTTTATCAGCTGTGTATTCAACGATGCGAGTAGTGCCATCTGGTTCCGCAAGAGAGTAGGCACCTGTAAAACGTATGTTCAATCAGTACGACTACGCATTTATGTTTGTCGACAGAAAAATACATAAGTTCACCAAAACACAAAAGCCTTAAAAAATATTCAATCCTCATACCTTTGACAACATCCCCATCTCGGCTCTCCCACTGCGTCTTATGATCGCCGGTATGAGGGTCTGCTACAGCATAATCGAACGAATATTTCGGGTACGACTGAAAACATAATAATAATTTTAAAATATTGGATTTTAATAACTGCAATAACACTTTACACACATCTCGTTTTAATTAAAAAGGATTATAATGTGGCTTATTTAAAAGAAAGAATAAAACTTTTCAATAAAGCAATTACCTACATAATATTTTTTGGACCCGATTATATTTATACCGATGCTTTTCCGTAGTGTAAAAGACATCAACGCGCGCATCTCTATAATGTGAGTATTATTAAACGCCTTCGGAATAACTAGTAAATTTAAATTATTATATTACCTAAACAATGTTATTTTAACTGCAAATCGAAATGTAAATTAATACGTTTTATTTAAGATTAACTAAATAGAAAACCTATGCACGATTTCATAGTATAGAAAGTCATAAATTGGCAAAGACATACATATTTAACAACAAGTCTTAAAAACAAAATGGTTTTTATAACTATAACGTTCTTTTCAAAAGATCTAAGAAATAGTCGCTTAACATTTCGTCATGACAAATTTTTACTTTCCGGTATCAAGCAGTGTAATGAGGCAACTCATATCCGAATTTCCTCAAACTTCACAATACAAATGACAAGTGTGACGCAAACTTTCAAGTATGGCACGTCATGGTGGGTAAACACCATATGCGTGACGATTTATACCGTAGTTTCTATTAAGAAGTTTGAACTCTATTGACATCGAAATAAAGGTGGCACTTGTTTACAATGTAAGTTATCAGAAGTACTTTTGGTGTCCTTATTCGTAAGCATCTTGATTTTATCAGAGCATTCAAGTACCAAAAGAAGAAAAAGATTTGAGGCTTACTGATGATGCACCTTCCGTGTGATGTTGGTGTCTTTTATTTAAAATAATATTTTTTTAACAATCTTACATAATAATCCTGGCTATGACCGTGTCCGTAGTCGGCTTGTACAGGATAGTACCCACTGTAGCCTCCGTGGCTACCTCCGTAGCCTGATAGACCAGCTCCATAACCGGCACCAATGTAGCCGGCATTAGCAGCAGCACAAATGGCCACGAATAAAACAACCTGAAAAGGAAAAAATATATTTGTACACGAATTCGACTTCTCTTTATCCTTATAAATGTTGATGATGGGGGAAAAGTCATTAAATTATTTGTCTTGTCCAGGAAGAGACCAGAGGGAGTGTAAGACTCTTATTGACTAAACATCAGTCATATAATTTTAATGATTGAAAAATATGATGAATGCTACCAGGAAGCGTTACATTGATTTTGACTAGATAATATTGAGGTAATATACAAATACCACGACCGTACCAAGGACAAAGAGATAACATAGAAACTGAACAAATCGCTCCAAATAACAATAGAATTACAATCAACAAAATTCGCACCAATTATAATAGTGACATTTAAGGTCATCGTTATACGGCTCATATTTGATTATTTTCATTCATCACGTATGATAACAATGCTAATACATGCACAGTGCGATAAAAGTTCACTACCAAACAAAGTTTTAGTCAATATAAGTTGAACTCTGATTACGTGTACTGTCTACATATTATGAGGTCAGATTTTATTGGTTATTGTTTGATTTGCGATCGTGGGTATACTGTATAGTGAAGATATAATAACAATAGGACAAGCAAAAACAAACGCAGGAAGCGTTGATCCAATAAAAAGTACACGTGTTTTCATATCAAGTTCCGATTTCGAAGAATGAAGTTTCTTGGTTGTTGTTTTGTTTGTACTTGTGTTATGATGGCGTCGAGAAGAAGAATTCACAGAGATTTATAGAGAATAATTATTTATTTATGTTTCAGATTTGTCTAAACAGATTTATTCACTTTTTTTCTTTCTCATAATAATATTGATTGATAAATCATATTTTTAACTATACTTTAAGTTAAAATTTAAATACAACAAACATTGTAATGCTGATTTTTGTCAAACGTTATGTGAACCTCAGCAGTTGGAAATGACAATTGAAGAACAATAAAAGATAATTATCCAAGAATGTATGCATGTGCAAAAAACGTATACATACTTTTTTACAGTTGAGCAGAGAACGATTCATTACGTTCTACGAAAACAATGAAAAATAACTTTTCTACTACATAACCGATTACGTGCTAGTCATGTTGTTATATCGATATTTCCCATAACTTTACTACGTTACGTTTATTCAATACGAACTGTTGTTAAATGTACCGTAACGGCAATGAATACGCGGTTTTTGTGATGATATAACCATTATTTGTCACGTAAATAACCGTTTTCAAGCTATTTGATAAGTTAGGTATTTTCGACTGTACTAGCTACACTCGCGAGGTTTCACCCGCTGCTCAGATCCTACAGATCGTAGTGTGATGTTTCATCTAGCCTATAGCACTCAGGAATATTGTAGCTATCTATCAGTGAATAGAATTTTGGAAATACGATCAGCGGTTCCAAAGATTACCCCCTACATACAAACTTACAAATTTTACATCTTCATAATATTAGTATAGATACGGTGTCTTTCTGTGACATGTCATGTGCCCAAATGCAACAAAATGATTATGAAAGTAATCATAAAAATGTGATCATTTAATAAATTCACAGATCTTCCATTTTTGCTTCTTTTACTTATCCTATAATAAAAATGTTTCTTCTGAATATTTTTTGTAACTTAAATCTAATTAGCATAAAACTAATTTAATGATCTTGCATTAGATTTTCAATTTTAATCAGGATTTACTAGATCAAATTTCTAGTTATTTTGTTATAATGTCAATTTTTAAAATAGAGCAGACCTGAATTACCAAATGATTATTGAACCATTATTAATACATTTAGTATGTGTATAGGTAAGTGTCATACTATAATTAATGGGGCTTTTGAGCATAAAGATATTTTGTATGTTCGACGAGTAAGTTCAAAAGAACCATCTTTTCGTAAGGGAGCTTTTATAAGAGTTTTATTTTGATTTTAGATTTGTTTTCTTTTTATTTTTTATTTATTAAAGTCCTGCCCGATACTTAAATTAATTAACATTTTGTCACCCTAGTGAGTTTACATAAATATCTTACTGATAATCTATAAGCAGCGCTGTGGGCTACAATATAATTACGTATTGTTACGTACCGTCCTGCAGATACGTCATTTTTAAATAATCAATTTAATCTTTAGAAGTAAATTTAAGTAAATGAATAAATCTACGACTGAAACTACGATATATGTATAAATCAAGTACTGAACACTACGACAACGAGCTCCCATCGGTATTTTCAAATAAATCAAATCGAACATTTTTATTCATAATTTCATTTCATTTTTATAAAAAATGTACTAATAGACTTTTTCAATCACATATAATATAGATTTACATTTAATAATTTAAAAACACCCGTTATAAATTGTCTCTTTACTACCCAACTTTTAAGTAATACGCACAAAATCACCGCACTTACTTGGAAGGCACGCATTTTCACAATTTGTAAAGGTCACTTTCGTCCTCTTCGACACGGCCGACAGGAGCAGAACTGACACTGGTGCAGGTCTTGCCAGGCCCACTGTATTTATAACAAGCACTTCTATTGCCTCATCGATGCGTACGTTTGGCGTAGCGTCGTGGTATAGGCCTCTAAGACCAATATATGTAGACTGGGGGTTTATTCTAATGTTTACGCCAAAAACGAATTTGAAGGGGTCTTAAAATTATTGTCATTGTTTTAATAGCTGAGAAGAAAAAATAGTGTAAATTTTGTTCAAATTCAAAGTTGAACCATTTATTTCAAATAGGCACATTTAAGCGTCAAACAAATAAATTAATATCTAAATAATCAGCTTTATGTGTGAGTCTGGACTATCATTCATTGGGAAATATAAATGATCACCTGATAATAATGTCGTTATCTGAACTATTATTAAATTCAAGATAGAAAAACATATCATCAGCCTACAAGTATAAGAGCTGCTAAGCGAAGGCTTTTATTCCCGGGGAGAAGGATTAAGCATATTACCACACTATAATTAAAAAATTTGAATTTGATCTAATTAGTACGTCGAAATTAGCTCCATATGGCTTCTTCCATTTCTTTTGATCGAATTTCGTCATAATAGATTTCCAATATTGATGAAGGTGTTAACATTATCAAAATGTAATCAGTTTTATGATAGCAATCCATCATAGGAATTGGATCTATAATAAAATTTTATGTTTTTAACCAGATAATATGTAACTGGGACTCTTATATAATTATTTTTCATTTATATTTTTATAAGGCTAAATTAGAAAGATTAATTGTAATTGAATGTGAGCATATTCTCTATATTGTATAAGATAGTATTGCTTGAAATATTGTGACATATTGATATAATAATTTGTCTCATAACGCTCCAACATTACGATTGAAAATGCAAGTATAAAAATAAAAATACTTATTCTGAAATCATTTCAGTTTTCGCCTTTAGTGCAAGGCCGTGGGAACAATCGTAATAAGCTATGTTTTCGACGTGTTTACAAGATGCGTGTAATTAGACTTCATGAGTCACTTAAACTCGTAAACGTAACATGTATATAAATAGTAAAACAGAATGCCATGCTTTATTTTTTGTTATTTCATTTAATATTCTCATTTATTTTAGTTATTTTTAATACAGTTTAGTTAAAATAATAAAAAATCTAAGCACACCATTATATATTGATGTTCGTGACTCTCGCTGAAATCCTAATTTGGAAATTAAAGTATTTTGTAAAAGGTAAAAATTCATTGATAAATAGCAAAAAAGAATACACTTAGTTCTAATTAACATTAACTTTATTAAATACGTACATTAAAGAGCTAAAGAGCACAAATGTGTCATTCAATTAGTAACAATAAACTACCCGAAATTGAGTTCATTAGTTTACTACATCAATTTATTTCGGGGTGGTAAGGAGTTCGCCAGGTCAGGTCAGCTGGCTTTCTTCTTCTTCCTAGATGTAAAAATGTATATATAATAATTATAAAGAGGTAAAAATTGTAAGGTTGGATGTAGAGGGTAATCTCTGGAACCGCTGGTCGAAAGGCTAAAATTCTTGCTCTGATAGATAACTACAATGTTCCTGAGTGCTATAGGCTATAAAACATCACGCTACGATTAAATGCAGCTGCGGTTGAAACCGCGCGAAAGTAGCTAGTGTAATAAGATGGGCAGTTAAATAATTTTGTGCTATTGAAACATTTCATTGAAGTCCATGTAACAAAGTACATACATCAACTTATTACAACTAATATTTTTCGAAATCCCAAAGCCGCAAGCGTCGATCACAATATTACCTACATTGTTACGTGCCTCGACTATCAAGCCAATTGATCTACATACATAGTTTATTTGGTGCGCTATTTATTGCAGTAAATAATTATTAAGCTGACTTGCGTACGCGCATTGTATCGAGATACAATTGTTTTGTTTTAATATTCAATGAGGTTATAAGTATAACTACACAAGTATAATTAAACACTATGTCAACAGAGTCTGCTTAGCATCAAAGTGATTATAGTTTTTAGTATACCTTGAAACTAAAGGTAACTTTAGCTTTATTTACATGAAGGAGTGAAGGATTACGATAAAGGAATACGCAAACATTAATTTTGTTATTGTTAACCATCACTGTCCATATAAACTGCCGCTAATGGTTTTTTAGAACTAAGTCGTGTATTTAATCTACGTATGACAAGTTTGCCAAAATCTGCTTGCTTGGACGGATAGTATTGAGATCGTAATTTATAAATAGATTAGGTTAATCGGGGATCGGTACTGTCTAGATTATATAAAAAATGTGTAGTTCCATAATCGAAATCGATGCAGATAATTTAGCAATTGTAAAAAATCATTATTCACTGAAAAGGATGTCTAAATCATTAAATGGTAGTCAGTAACATCCTGTAGCTATTAGTCATTTCCTAGTTTTAAATGTCATGTATAGACTAAAAAATATGAATTAGATGTAATAATTAACTAAATTTATTGAAGGTCTTATCTATATACATATTTATAAAATAGACTTTGCTTTAACATATTATGGTTCCCATAATTCATTCATTACGGATTCTTATAACGTGGGGTTCCAAAAAAAATCTTGTATATTAAAATTTTAACAATATTGTCTAGACATGTATTATTTATTGTCGTTATAAATCGTCCATAGGTATACATAAGCCCAATAACTTCCAAGTTGTTAGATAGGACGATGTCTATGGGCCTCAGCAACACCTGCAAGAAAAAGATCACGACTTGTATCCAGTCGCTCTATGCAATTTTACCACTTGCGTACACAATCAATACCATATCACAGGATACATACAATTTTAATGCTTAACTATACATCCTATAACAAATAAAATTTACTAAGGTCTTTATCTATATCTATAAGGTCAAAGTCAAAAGTAACTTATGTTAGCTTACCTCAAATCTACTCTTTCGAAAACTATTTAAATTTTGCTGTCGACAAAAATGCTAAATTTAATAAAACAAATTTTTGGCACGATATTTTTTGGGAGCTAAAAAAAGATACTTAAAAAATATGCACGGCGGTTTGTTTAATGCAATGTAAAGGTGGTAATGTTTGCATTGGTATATCGTATTGATGATGTGTGTAATTAAGTAGTATTTTACGTACAATTTACGATTTCAATTTCGGTAATTAATCGGTGTTGGCGTGCTTGAATGACCCGATGCACGCATATAAGGATGACGAACAAAAAATTTATTAGTATAACAATAAGTAGCGTTCTGTATTGCCTTTGTGGACTGTCTGATGTCTTAAAATTAGATATTTTCTGAACTCTATTTCTTAGCGCCATATCCAGACCAATATAGCATTATCGATAGAGTAGGAAAATAGGTTCTACTCAACTAAAACATTGTGATCGTTGACAAATGATACCAATCTCACAGAATACCAGAGTAATCGTTTTACCGTGTGATTGAGGTTATCAAGAGTACCCAAATCTCCAATCCCACATCCGTAACAGGCCGGCAGCGAACTTATTACTCCTCTGGTGTCCATTGGCGGCGTGCTTACGGTGATCCTTCTAGTCTTTGACTACCTCAGGCCATTAAAAACAATAAAGTTTCCTAAGTAAATATTCAAAAACACAATACACATAAATATGAAGTAAACATTATAATTCGTTTTAATTTTAATCCACTACAAAGACAATTAATAATATTAATTTCCTAATATAAAGTATTTCACGTGAGGCAATGCTAGGTTTACGAAACAACTGTTATTCCAATATATTTATGGCCTCTTGTAATTACAAATTATTAGTAATTTTAGGTTCTTTAATCAATGTAAGCTTACAGCTGGTTCGAAACATCTCCGTAGAACTGAGTCAGTGCTGTGTTGAAACCTGGCCACAATGCCTATTATTGTGTGCGCTAAACGATGCCTATCTGAAACTGGGGTAATATCTACTATGTTATAGAGAATATTATATGTAGATATATGTAGGTAATAAATACAAAAGCGCGTAAATATTTTAATTTTATGATAGTTTTTGTCAAAATAATTTAGTTTGACTGACTGTTCGGAATTTCTTAATGCATCTAACCTCCAAATCAAATAGATACTCGTATGTAGCTCTCTTTAAGGGCTTTTCTCAGTATTTTTGATGAGGCAGGTAACCCGAATTACCGAAGGAGGTACGGAGTGTATTTGCGGTCTTTTAGAGATAAGTTTTTGGGTATTTAAGGATTGGGAAGGGATGGGGACTTATGGGACTCCGCTAACCTCACTCACACGGCGAAACACAAGGCTGAGGTGGTAATTAGATTATTTATATAAAAATCGTCTCAGTCGCAAGTCGTAGAGAACCGCTTTTACTATTAATAATACATTTTGATACTTATATTTGTTGCTTTAGCGGAAATCCAAATTTCAGCTAACTATAATATTCATAACAGATTGAGTCTTAGTCAAATGAACCCTTTTTCCCTTAAACAAAAAACCCTAAAAAACGACGATTATATTTTCTTAAAATATAAAATTATTGATTGTATAGTGTTGATGTATAGTGCTTTGTTAATTTTCCTGACCAGTACCTAAACGTATAAATATTTTCGTTACCTTATACATATACTCCAAAATGTCTTCGCACAAAAAACCATTTCCGACGCAAAGTTCCGATCCAATAAACTCTACTTAATAGCTCCATTTAGAAAAAATAATAGATTAACAAAGCACTTAGTTGCTTCTTCGATTAGCAATCGAGAATTCGATAAAAATCGCTGATATTCCGGTTGCGGAATCAGAACAAGGTAACAAGGATTGCAGCACCACACTATTTCGAACCCAAACCCTCCATTAGAACAGCCGATGATAAGTACAAAGCCTCTAATAATTACCGATCGGTGCATCAAATTAATCGGCAATCGCATAGTATCGATTCGAGTTATCGGTTGAATCGTATTCGGAGCTCTCGAATAAGTTATTATTAGAAGTTGATTATTTTGCACTTTTTACCTATTTTGGAGTGAATGGAATTTTGCAGATTACT